GGGGGGATAAAAAAAAAATTCAGGTTATTTCTACTATGAGATCCTTCAGGCAAATTTTATGTAGGTTTGAAAGGTAAACTCGCCGCTGAGGTCTAATGTTTGTGTTGCTTGACTGCTAGCTGGCCCAAAGGTCGAGGACTCGAATCCCGGTCGTGGCTGCCCCACTTCGATGAAGCAGAAATGTTGGAGGCTCGTCGTGCACGTTAAAGAACGCCAGCTGGTCGAAATTTCCACGTCCGTCCACTTCGGCGTATCTCATATCGTTGCTTCGGGACGTGCTCCACAGCTGTTATTATTTTGAATCATAGCAACCTGTCTTTGAGGCATGACGGAAGCCCGTTTAAACCATGTTTGAATTTCACGATGAACGTCTCTAGAAGACGGCTGCTATGTGGCTGCTCAGGTATTGCAGAAAAGGCGCCAACTTTGAATTATCATCAATATGAGATTTTAATTACGACTCTGTATTACGCGAGAATTTCGGAGAAGTCATTGCCTTAAACATCGAGTCGTTTGCTTCGAAAGATTCAACAGGGCAGGCCTGAGACTGCATAAAAGCAAATAACCTTGAAAGCTCACTCATAAACCTCGGGGTCCTGAAACACACGTCAATCAATATAAAGATGTGGAATTTGAGTGAAGATCACGCATCGATCCACATTTCCAAGGACTCGTGCTAAAACACAAGTCTCTGTCGAATCTTTCACCATAGCCGGTGATAGCGCCGCATGGTTGGTCGTAACTAAACTCACTGAGCGGTTCGATGCAAAACCTACTTGCACACGTCTAACATTAAGTTCCACATATTTGGAGTTTTCTACACTTTTGGGTAGTCGTGTAGCGTCGTTATTCGCTCTCACATGGTAGAGTACCTGGTACTCTAAATCGTTAACCACTTTTTCTGAACAGACAGTCAGGGACGGCTTTCAGCTCTCCCATAGTAGAGTACTGAGTACTCAAATCGTTAACCTCTTCTTTCAAACACTTAAAATTACACAGCGAACAACGTTCTCGCTGAAGAGTACCTTGTAATCTCAATCGTTTAACATTTCTTCTAAACACAGTTGGATAATTTCGCGCACGCTTTAGAATGGCTTTTCTTTGAGCATCGGGACGGCTCGCTCCACTCCCATGGTTGAGTACGAAGTACTCGAAATCGTTAAACACATCTTCTAAACACGTACGTTGCTATAGTGTAGCAGTTTAGAGATTTTTGCCCCCCCCCCCCCCTGATGCTCGAATATCAGGTACTCTAAATTTTTTAGCACTTTTCTTAAGTAAGCCTACACTAGTACCTTAAACTGTACGCTTATATTTACAATGCTACGGCTGAACAACGTCGATAATAAATGAATTCCGACACGATTTTAGGAGATCTTCATACCACTGCTTCAAATAAGAACAGCTGGTTCGATAACCCAGCAGAGGGTCGTGGTCACCCGAAAGTTTCGGGTTCGACTCCCGCCGTGGCGGTCGTCATTCAAGGAAAACGAAAATGCTAGTCGCCGACGAGCCTATTCATCTAGCTGAATTTTAAGAACTTAAAGTGCTCCAAGTCATGCGCAGGGCAGAGCTACGGATAGAGAATAAATGGTATAAAACGGAAGGTAGGCGTGTCTTATAATCACGTCGCAGTCACAGCGTGTAAAACTTTGCTTTCGTACTCGATCGGTCATCGAAATCGGTAAGATTGATTGATTGATATGTGGTGTTTAACGTCCCAAAACCACTATATGATTATGAGAGACGCCGTAGTGGAGGGCTCCGGAAATTTCGACCCCCTGGGGTTCTTTAACGTGCACCCAATTCTGAGCACACGGGCCTACAACATTTCCGCCCCCATCGGAAATGCAGCCGCCGCAGCCGGGATTCGAACCCGTGACCTGCGGGTCAGCAGCCGAGTATCTTAGCCACTAGACCACCGCGGCGGGGCAATCGGTGAGATTACATAGATGTTCTACATGTCACTATTTAGTTGCAACACAGCCACGAAGGAATGTTTTGTGTTCACCCGAAAATTTAGGAGGAAGAGGAATAAATGAGGAAGGACAGGGAGGTTAGCCAGTTCTCAGACCGGCTGGCCACCCTGTACTGGGGAAGGGGGTAAGGGGATAAAGGATGAGAGAAAAGAGACGTTGTAAAAAAAAGAGAGAGAAAGTGATCAGACGATCCACGACGCTGTTTAGAGTCTGTCTGTAAGACCACTTGCTCGCAGAAAGCGCAACAACGCTCTGAATGCCTTGCGTGCAGAGGACGGTCTCGGCCAGTGTCCTAATACCCTTTCTTCCGACAATTGGTGATTTTCTATTCTATCTAGAGCTTTTGAAAGTTCTTTTCTTGGCACGCTGAAGCGGGGATACTCGCAGAGAAGATGGGAGAAAGTCTCTGCGCAGCCACAGTGTTCACATGTCGGGCTTCTGGCCATTCCGATTCGAAACGAATAAGCATTCGTAAAGACCACCCCAATCCACAGACGGCACAAAAGTGTGTCCTCTGCTCTGGTTATTCCTGATGAAAGACGAAGCTGTAGGTGTCTGTCCAAATTATGAAGGCGGACGTTGGTGAATGCCGGTGAATTCCACTGAGCAAGTGTCAGTTCTCGTGCAAGTGATCGAAGCCTTGCAGCGGCGTCCGTTCTTGATAATGGTATAGCTACACAAGGGGCATCATCATGAGCAGTTCGGGCTGCTTCATCTGCATGGTCGTTTCCATCAATGCTGCAGTGGCCTGGTATCCATTGATACGCTACGTCATGTTGTTTCTCTATAGCCCGGTGATGAAGCAGTCGTATTTCAGCAATTAGCTGTTCGTTTGGTCCACGACGATATGGCGAGGCAATGCCCTGGAGAGCTGCTTTGGAATCTGAGAATATCCACCATGTCTGTTGCGGTTCTTCAACTAGGAACTCCAGAGCGGCACGAATGGCGGCGAGTTCTGCCGCCGTGGATGATGTCAGATGCGAGGTCCTGAACTGTATTGTGATGGATTTCTCCGGAATCACCACTGCGCCTGTTGAACTTGTTGAAGTGACTGACCCATCCGTGTAAATGTGAATGCGAAAATTTAGAGTGGTAATGTTTCCTCGCAGCTTTAACCCAGGTTGGTGCAACGCACGCAAAGTAGTTATCATACCGGCCAGTCTGTTCTGTTCCTGGTATGAGAGAAATCAGCATTAAAACCCATTTAAATATATTTACTATGCCATCAAGATTAAATGCATGTAGAAATTTGTATTATAGGGGACAGCCGCAATATTTCTTTGGGGAATTGAAGTTTATTTGTCTTGCAGGAGTGGAAATGAAAGGCTATACAACCATACAAGAGGCCTTTGCTCCTAATTACAATTTGACACACATGTGGCTGAACGCCACAATAATATAGTATATGACAAGTGCACTTTCTGTATAGTATACTCAATACCGCAATAAAATTAGCATATTCTTGTTGCACAATCTGAAATAGAATAATGACAGGTTCATTAACACGTCCATCTGTACGTCCGTTTTTCCGTCCGTGTGCCCATGCGTCCGTGCTTCTGTCCATGTGTCCATTCGTGCGTCCGTCTGTCGGTCCATGTATGCTTCTATGAGTCCGTCCGTGAGTCCGGTCGTCTGTTCATGCTTCTGTCCATCCGTCCGTGCGTTCATGCGTCCATGCGTCCGTCCGTCTGTCTGTTTGTCTGTCTGTTCATCCGTCCATCCATCCGTTCATATGTCTGTCTGTCCGTTCGTCCGCCCATGTGTCATTCGCTAGCGCCACCACCTGAGTGCGTCATGCAACTAGGTGGTTACGAACCGATCACAGAGATGCATGGACAAACGCACGGCTTTAGGAGCTTCGCCCCTAAAAGACATGCAAAAGACATTACTTGGTACTCTAATATGGCAGAGCATAAAGCCATCTCAAGGACCTCACACTTGATCCGACCATGTTGGCAAAAATTAGTGACGACGTAGTGCTCACTATACGCAGCCACATAATGAATCGGAAAAGGCTGTGCGTTGAAAACAAATGATCGACAATTTAGAGCGCGATGCACTCTGCTATGGGAGAGCAACAAGCTGACCCAGTTTCACACAACGAGATCCCGTTACGCCTTCTGTCTTGATTCCGAGTGAATGTACTCATGAGCGAGTTTGCCGACCTGTGAACGGAAATGGGCAAGTGTAGTGGCACGGCCGTGGTAGTTGGGTGCAGCATCTGCGCAAACTTTATCGGGGTCGGCAGTGGTGGCTCATTATGGAGCTCGTATTTGTTTTCGGGTTGTATAGGGCCCCTAAACCACGTCGAGTTCAAAGGCGAGACAGAAGGTTCTTTACTGACTTCATTTCCCTTCCTGCAAACGCTATTTCCTTCTCGCCACTTAACTTTTTATCACAGCACTAACACCCGTATTCTAGAACGTCCCTTCACTCAACACTTCACCTTCACTTGATAAAGCCGATAGGAGCGCCGCCTCTATAGGCACGGCAAGTCACTGCATATCGGCGGTAATCTGATGCGATTCTTGGGTTGCGCAGTGTCATTTTTGAGCCGAGCTGTGGTGCAGTGCTCAACTCTGTCAAGTGAAGTGTGAAAATCGAGTCGAGGAGCGTTTGTGAATAAGGCGGTAAGCGTCGAGCCGTTAGGATCTCGAGCTTTTCGGCTACACGCTTCTCATTCCACTCGCGCAGTCGCAAACGCAAGAACAGCGGAGTGAAATCAGTTTATCGCTCATGATCGTCTTCAGAAAGTGTGTGCGACTCCTTTGTAAATCAGAGTACGAAGCAATTCACAACAGATATTCACAGAGAATACTTGTTTTCACCTTGACGTCATGGGAGCGGACTGATGACGTGATGCATTGTGTTGCGAGAACGGGACACGCCGAAAGACAATAAGTCGCTCGTTTTTTTTTTGTATTTTTGGAGGCTCTTTGGGGGACCTTCGAGCGACTGTAGTAGAATGCATGCTTGTCCCGGCAAGTTTTTCGCGACGAATGACTGACACTTGTGACGCAGGTCCCGCGGTCGCCTTCCTCGCCGAGTACGATGCCCTGCCGGACATGGGGCACGCATGCGGTCACAATCTTATCGCCGAGAATGCCATCGGAGCCGCCCTTGCGGTCAGGGAGGCCATGAAGAAGTACAAGAGTGTCCGCGGCAAGGTAACCTTAGCGATCATTTTTTTAAGACGATAGTCTTTTTTGGTGACCTTCGACGCAAAACTTTTGATCTGTCTGTCTGTCTGTCTGTCTGTCTGTCTGTCTGTCTGTCTGTCTGTCCCTCTGTCTGTCCCTCTGTCTGTCCCTCTGTCTGTCTGTCTTGTCCCTCTGTCTGTCCCTCTGTCTGTCCCTCTGTCTGTCCCTCTGTCTGTCCCTCTGTCTGTCCCTCTGTCTGTCCCTCTGTCTGTCCCTCTGTCTGTCCCTCTGTCTGTCCCTCTGTCTGTCCCTCTGTCTGTCCCTCTGTCTGTCTGTCTGTCTGTCCCTCTGTCCCGCTGTCCCTCTGTCTGTCCCTCTGTCTGTCCCTCTGTCTGTCTGTCTGTCTGTCTGTCTGTCTGTCTGTCTGTACGTTTGTATGTTGGTCCTCCCTTAAAAATACCCCAAACGGCACCAAACGACAACCCGAATGGCCGACCCCATCCACTGCGCCCACCAATATTGCTCAAGATTTAGCCTTCATACTTGTGCGATTTACAATTAAAAAGCAATTATTGTGCATATCTCACGCACCATTACAACACGTCAATATTATGTATGTGTGTCGTTTCACTAGAAAAGGCATACATAAAAAATTCTAAGGACCATAGCGCTTATCACGCTGCGCTGAAGGTGCAACGCTTCCACGAAAAGGCCGGTGTTTCCAACGCTTTGCTAAGACGACGCGGTGGTGGCACCTACCCGTCGCCTTGCGTTTTACACCTTATCGCCTCCGAGACGGGCGCGCACGCCGCGCGCTTCGTTTTCCGAGATAACTGCCAGATAGCTCTGTCTCACGTGTGACGTGACTTGATGCCCTCGCTCGCATCCGCTGCACGCTCGAGGAATTCTAACGCAGTGCCTCCAGAATACCATTCGCCGATTTTCTTGCGCAGAACATGAAATAAACGTTTTGTTCACTCTCTCCAGACGCAAGACTATCGTCTTTCGTCGGCATTTGCAGTGTAACATGCAAATACGGGGCCTTTTTTTATACCGTCTATTTAGGGTGCTCTGAAGCATTTCTGCCTGAAAGCTGCGCTGTGATAGCAGTAAATAATGACCATGAAGAGGTATCGTTGCTGGTATAAAGAGAGGGAGAGAGAGATCGAGAAATATTTTAATGAAGAGCCGGAGATGTTTGTCTGGCTTTTTACCTGACATGCTACTCCAGATGGTGTGTGATGATCACTATTAAGTATACAGTGATAAACGCATGACGCATACAGCCACACACGTAAACTACCTTATATTTAAAACGTTTCGTTCTGGCTTGTGGCCTGCAAAAAAGTGACATGCGCTTTCGTGGCGTGGAACGCGCTGTAGCTGCTTTGCCATAATGGCATACTGCAAATCGCACATAGGCATGGTATATGGAACAAAGCACGCAGTACAGGATAAGAGCCATAGTTATGCGCTGTGCTGATTCCATCTGTGTTTAGGGCTTATAATTTGCACTGTACAGTATGCCAAGATAAAACGTTGCTTTCATTACTGGGATTAGACGCTCACGAAGTTCGTTTCCTCGGCGTCCGCACTGGGCACGCCTCGAGCGAAAATAAATCGAATCAAGATACCCTACTAACCAGCATGAGATTGGTTCCATTTACAGAGAACTGGTCTATTTTATAGCTGGACGTTCAATGAAAGAGGTTTTGTTGATCGAGCTTCGGTTGGTCTTACGAGCTTCGGCTGGTCTTACTCCCAGAAAAGAAAAACGCCACAGTTAAAAAGCTGTAGTGTTTTTTTTTATCCTACTGCCATATATGACTTTTTCTTATTCTTCCACGCTAAAAAAAGAGTGAATTTAAACAATCCAAGAAAGAGCCCACGAAAACTGAAGTTGGACGTGGCACTGTAGCAAGTGACGTTTTGTGACGTCATTGGTTGAGTTGTTGCAGGCACATGTGGGCAAAAGCAGAAGTGTTAGAAACATCCTCGAACATTGGGCTTAGACACTGTTAGTGGTATGTGGCTCCTTGTGTCAAAATGGTTGACCATACACTAAAAACGTTGACGCAAGCTTCAAAGAGCTCCAAAGAGTATGTCTGACTACAAAATTGTCGTAACTGAAATAATCCAGAGAACTCCAGAACAAGACTGATTGTGAAGTGAGCGAAATGCTCAGAGCCAAAAGCAGTAAGTGGATCAGAAGGGCCCGCGTTTTTGATGTTTGAGAGAGCTAGTGACGTTAAGTGTTTAAGTGAACACGTACAGTCACTGGCGCCAACGTCTTGACCATCGGTGTTGTCTTCTTGAAGGCCACAACTGTCTACCTTAGAGCGCGTGTGAGTATGCCCCGTACCCCCCATTTCCTCCAACCGAAATAGGAGACATGGTGACATGCAGGTCGCGGGATTAACTCCAGCCCGCGGCTGCTGCATTTTCGATGAAGGCGAAAATGCTCGAGCCCCGTGTGCCTTAGGTGTGTGTTAAAGAACCCCGTTCAGGGGGTCGAAATTTCCGAAGTCTTCCACTACGGCGTCTCGCAATCATATTGGGGTTTTGAGATGCTAAACCCCGACAAATATTACTATGACGCAATGGGAGAGGTGTAGTGCGAAACAGGAGTGTGATTCGGATAGCCGCTACACAAGCAATATCCAGATTTTGCTGTTCTTTGGTATTTATGCAAAGATTCATCACTCGACCAATAGAGGATGTGTCGAAATATCAATATCACTAAATGGGACGCTAAAGTAAAACAGTCAATCAGTTTATACTAATAAACTATACTCTGAAATTCCTATTGTTAATTTGAACGTCAAAGGCTCATTAATAAAAAAGAAAGTCATGATCAAAGTTTCATCTTTAAACATTTACATCTTCGAACGTGACGTTGTGGATCTCGAAATGTTTTATTCGTATGTCGCCCATGCTGTCTCAACGAAATTTTCGATAAGTCATAGTGATAAATCTCTGCCCCGCCCCCCTCCCTTTTTTTTTTCAAAGAGGACAGTGTACTTCACATTTACTCATTTAGAAACTACGTAAGCTACAGCACTACGCCATGGTGACTGGTGTGGCACCGTCAATGTGGCGTCGCTACACGCAGTTTTTTTTTTTTTGCGCGCTTTCTTGCTTACCGAGCGTGTTATAGCGGCAACCATGGTGCTGTTTGGCATTGCGAAAAGGTAATTTACTAATACGAAAAAGCTACGTTTCTTTTCAGTGTCTCTTCATTGTTGCGTGATCAGTGTGGAATATGAACGAGTTACCTAATATATAACTTAGTACGTATGCCTATCTACGCCCCTTATCTAGTTTTTTGTTCACAAATTCTCTTAGTGTACTTTTTTCTGCTGCCGAGGGTCATAGCTTGCAACGTACAAAGTACCACACCTAATCAAATGCTCACCGATGTACAGACATTTATCTTCAAGTACACTGCAATGTTTACACTGCGATCGCTATTAACACACGGCATTCGCTAACGAGTGTGTGTGTGGGGGGGGGGGACACTTATTTCATGTGCAGATGCCGAACGTTGGTGAAGTGTGTATCTTGTGTCGCAGATTGTCGTACTCGGAACACCTGCCGAGGAAAGCTGCGGCGGAAAGCAACTCCTCGTCGAAAAGGGGGCCCTGGAAGGCATCGACGCTGCCATCATGTGCCACCCTGGTCGGAGAGACGTGCTGAGGCTGGCCTTCACTGCAACGCAACAGGTAATGCGCGTTCATAGACGAGGCCAACGTTAACCGGAAGGGGGTTTAAGAGTCGCAACTCCACCCCTTCTTCCCCCCTTCCCACACGCCCCCCACTCGCTGTTGGTCGAACCCGAAGGAAAATGGGCGTTCCACATTCGAAGACCTTAAAACCAAGTGGTTATGTGCTGTTCACAGTGGCCTTCTTTTGATTCGTGTATTTCGTTACACAACTGAGGAAACAATTCACGAAATGCAATATGAACAGCTATAGGCTACCATTGTCAGCCAAATGCTGCATGGACATAAAACTGCTCCACAATGACGGGCATGCCACACTGCGTAAAGACATAGGGCAAGGTGGCCCCTCCTTCCTCCCTTTCCACAGGTCTTATCGTCATTGTACTTTGGTTTGGCATTTGCATCAGACTTGCATGCTGGAATATGATGAAGCCACGTACAGCAGTGCAATTTTATTATACAACAACAACAACAACAACAACAAGAACGCAATAACAATAATAGCAACAACAACAATAGTAATATTATTATCATAATAATAATAATAATACTAATAATAATAATAATAATCTGTATTATATCTTCACAACTTCGAGAAAGCTGGTGGAGCTAAAGGTGAGCAACGCCTGACAGGGGCCCCGGCACCCGTAACGTGCCACAACGACCTGTCATGTCCTGTCACCCCACGTAACATACAGGCAGTTCATTGGCAGTGAACAAAAATATAGAAAAAATCTTTATGCATTTGACATACAATGCATTAGTAACTCTTACGGTACCTTTTTGCGTTAAATAAACACGAAAGACGTAAAAGCGCAAATGTATTTATTACGCGCTAAAAGCTATCATAAGAATAAACCAACTCGCACAACAAGTCACTCTGCATTAGGAACAGTCTTGCGCATTCGTACGTCGACATAGCTATTCTGCAATCGTTTTAATTAGACAGTGGCATAGGATAAGAAAAATGGTGCTGATATCAGCACACAATCAAACGCATGGAACGCAACATACGTACACACACACACATGATGCTTCGTGCACATGTCCCCAAATCCTGGTCATGAATGCACAGAACGCTCTCAGTTTTATTGATCACACGCACGCAGTGTATGTTTCTCACCCTCTAAAACTGCCCTGATATCATTCAATATATCGACATATGCAGTATACACTGACAGCAGCTACGTTTATTCGTGCAGATGGTTATCCGCTTCAAAGGCAAGGCGGCTCACGCGGCGGCATCACCGTGGGAAGGGCTGAATGCCCTGGACGCCGCCGTTGCCTCCTACCTCAACATTGGTCTTCTACGCCAACAGATCAAGCCCACGTCGAAAATTCAAGGCACGCATTTCATTCGTCACGGATTCATTTCTTTCTTGATTCGGCTCGCTCACAAAAGAGGGGGGGGGGGGGGGCTGATTCCTAAATGAAAGCTCCGCCACGGTGGTCTAGTGGCTAAGGTACTCGGCTGCTGACCCGCAGGTCGCGGGATCAAATACCGGCTGTGGCGGCTGCATTTCCGATTGAGGCGGAAATGTTGTAGGCCCGTGTACTCAGATTTGGGTGCACGTTAAAGAACCCCGGGTGGTCAAAATTTCCTGAGCCCTCCACTACAGCGTCTCTCATAATCAAATGGTGGTTTTGGGACGTTAAACCCCACAAATCAATCATGAATCATTCCTAAATGAAAAAATTACGGCATATTCACGGGGTGAATGATGATGAATGGGCGAAGCTCCGGAGGGATTCATCGGTAAACTGTGAATCTTCCGTGTGATTCGCCCAGTCGATCATCATGTAAAGACGTGAGAAACGCTGTGTGTGTATATACACAAATCAACTTTTATTTGTTCTTAGACGATGGATGGCTTGCGATGTCCCTTGCCTCGCGCGCTCGCACATCGGGATTCTGTCTGCGAGCGCGCGCTGCTGCCGCCTTGCGTTCTCTCCGCTGTGCAGCCTTATCCATCCGGCGACTCCGAGCGCGCGCCAACAGCGAACGATGGATGGATGGATGGATGCTATGAGCGTCCCCTTTATAACGGGGTGGTGACAAGTATGCCACCAGGCTCGACAAAAAAAAAATCTTTTTTCCTTTCTTTTTATGTTGGCCTAATGCCTCTACTTCGATAAATTCTATCTTAATGGAAAAAAGGTAAATTTTCAGCTTAAGTTCTCTGCCATTTACGGCACACTGTCCATATTTTATTTTTCCAATATTTATTTTTGTCCTTTCTCTCTAATTTTCTGCCACCAATACTCTAACCGTCTCTTACTTATTTCAATCGCGGGTGTGTTCAGCTTTCCATTGTTGTCCCTAAAACCCAAGGCTTCCTGTAGGTTCGTGCCCAAACGTACACCTGGGTGGATATCTCCACATTCAATCAGAACATGTTCCGCCGTTTCCTTATCTTTCCCGCAGCATGTGCATTGTTCTTCTTCTTTACTGAATCTTGCTTTATAACTACGCGTTCTAAGGCAACCCGATCTCGCTTCAAACAGTAAAGCGCTTCCCCTTGAATTATCGTAAAATGCCTCCCTCCTTATTTCATTTTTGCCCTTTCGGTAGTTACTCAAAGCCGGTTTTTTCTCCATAGCTGCCATCCAGTAAATCCTCTCCGCCTCCCTGACTTTTCCCTTAACGCTCTTTGTTGACATATGGCTCACAATACCAGCCGTATATTTACTAGTGAGTCTTCTAGTTCTTTTTCTCCACTGTGTGTCCACGCTCTTCCTATACAAATAACGGAACACCTTCTCTGCCCATCTACTCTCCTTCATATTTCTTAGCCTTTCTTCGAACCTTATTTTGCTCTGCGCTTCCCTCGCCTCAAAACCTGCCCACCCCATATCGCCCTTTACAGCCTCGTTTGTCGTCTTCCCGTGAGCACCCAACGCGAGGCGTCCCACAGTCCTTTGATTTACATCCATTCCCGATTGCACCTCTGCCCTCATGCACACCACTGAGTTCCCAAAAGTAAGCCCTGGAACCCTTACACCCTTCCACAGACCTCGAAGCACCTCATACCTATTGTATCCCCACAACGCTCTGTGCTTCATTATTGCCGCATTCCTCTTTCCTTTTGCTGCCGAGGCTTTTTCCTGTACCTCCATGTATCTATCACTCTCATTTACCCATACTCCAAGGTACTTGTATTCACTTACCCTCGGTATTTCTTGGCCTTGTATGGACACCGTCTGATCACAGGGATCATTGAATACCATCAAACCACACTTCGTTACACTGAATCCTAGTCCAAGAGCTTCACCTTCCCTTCCGCATATATTCGCCAGCTGCTGTATATCATCTCGACTGTCCGCAAATAAGACGATATCGTCCGCATAAAATAAACCTGGAAGCTTCTGCTCAATCATCATGCCGCCCTGTTTGTGTGACAGATTAAAACCAATGTTGCTACCTTCTAGCGCTTTTTCCATACTCACCATGTACAGCATGAATAACAGTGGGGACAAAGGACATCCCTGTCTCAGACCCCTGCTAACCTCAACGTTCTCTTTGCTACGCATTCCTTCCCACTCTATGCAAACTGTATTTTCTCGGTATATCTCCCTCAAAAGCTGTATACAGTCGTCGCCCATGCCCATTCCTTTCAATATATCCCACAAAATTTCCTGATTAACGTTGTCGTATGCCCCAGTGATGTCTAGAAAAGCCACGTACAAGGGCCTATTCTCTATTTTAGATATTTCTATACACTGAGTGAGAACAAACAGGTTATCGTCTAACCGCCTGTCGACTCGAAATCCGTTCTGAAGTTCTCCCAAAATATCGTTATGTTCGGCCCATGTTTCTATTTTCATTTTTACTGCTTGCATCGCCAACCTGTATAGTACCGATGTAATGGTTAGTGGTCTATACGAGCGAATCTTGTCCTTTTCTCCCTTGCCTTTATAGATTAAGTTCATTCTACTTTGTCGCCAACTGTCCGGTATTCGTCCGTCCTTTAAGCTTTTTTCTACTGCTTTTAACAATGCTTCTTTAGTGTTATGTCCTAGTTCGTTAATGAGGCTAACGGGAATCCCATCTAAACCCGCGGCAGTGCGCTTTGGAATTTTTCCTTCGGCCTTTTTTTTTTCCAGTTGAAATTATCTAGTACTAGCTCTTCCTCTGTTGCTTTCTCCGCCACACTTTTACTCACTGGGGAGATCCCCTGGACGCTCTTTTGAAACGAATCGGCTGTTACCTTTTGGATGTAACCTAGCGCTTCGTACCCTTCCAATTGATTTCCTCCTTCATCTAGAATATGTTGTTGCGTTGTGACAGACTTCCTACCTAGCGCCTTTATGTGGCTCCAAAAAATCCTAGGCGCGGCCTCCTTTTTTTCGTGTATCTCTGTCATCCAGCGTTCACTTTCACCTTTAATTTTTGCCTCTACCAATTTCTGTACAAGGGATTTTTTCTCCAAATATATTTCCCATATTTTTTTGACTTCGTCCTGCGGCCGCTTCTCCTTTTTTGCCTTTCTATGCTCCCGTGATGCTTCGCGTCGCTTCTCGATCGCCTCCCGGATTTCCTTGTTCCACCAACTTTTTGGCTTCCTTTTTCCTTTCCAGCAAACGGTTTTCTTCTCTTTCCCTATCTCCTTCGTCATTAGATGTAACAGCTCCCTATACTCCCAGTCCTTGCCTGGTATTTCGCCTACTTCTTTCTCGACTCTTGCGGCTATATTTATTATTTGTTTGTCATTTAAATACGAGCTGCCAGACTTTGATTCCATGCTCGTATTTTTAGTTTCGTATCCCATTTGTAATGTTATTCGTTTATGATCACTACCCAAGCTGTTAATGCCTTCCTCGTCTATCCTCATTTCTGTCAGTTTGTGGTAAATTCCTTCAGTCATGAGACAATAATCAATACTTGATTGCTTGTTTCCGACTTCCCATGTGATCTGGCCGTCACATTTAGGCCCTGTGTTAACTATCTCCAGACTATGTTGCTCGCAAAGATCTAGTAATAACTTCCCATTGGTGTCTGAATATCCGTCAAGGTCATGTATGTGGGCATTCATGTCCCCTAGAAGGATGATTTCGGCCCCATTACCAAATTCCTTAATATCCGCACTCATGCAATCCACTATCTCCTGATTCTTTTCTCTGCAGTTATTCCCCGTCCACAAGTAGGACTACCCCTAGCCACGTTTCCTTTCCACCTACTGTGCCCAGAACCCAGAGGTGCTCTGAACACGTCTGTTTCACTCTAACCCATTTGGCTCCGCGGTGAATTAGCATTCCTACACCCCCACCTTTCCTTTCCGATATGGTCCTGTTACACCCTTCCCAAACATAATTTTTAATATGTGGTGGCTCTTCCAAGTCTCTAAGGTGTGTTTCTGTAACCGCATACACGCCTATCTGTTCTTTGTTTAACTGCTCCTCAATCTCTAACCATTTTGCCTTCTTTCTGCCACCCTGCATGTTTATGTAACTAATTGCAACACGCGCCTTTTTCCTTTTTCTTTTACCTTTTTTCTGGTTTTTCGCAATTCTACCTGTCAAAGCGTCCTCCTGTTTGTTTTCCCTGTTACGAGCTACCCCGGACTCCGAAGGGCCCGTGAGCCCCCCAAAAAAGCTACTGCGCGTCCTGCCAGTCGCCAGCCCACCTCGTGTCCAAGCCTCTTATCGAAATGAATCTTGTCTCTTTGGAATCCACCCCACCTGTGCACTTCCCTGTTTAAATCCACTACCTCGAAACCCTTCTCTCGACTAATTCGCCATATCTCTTTGTTTGCGTCGACTACCGCCTCTTTGCAGGTTGATGTTGCGTACTGGTACTTCCGGTACTGTGCATACTACAATTTGCACCTGGGGGGACACGGTGCGCATGTCATCCACCCCTTTCGCCAAGGTCGTCGCTAGTCCTGACGATTCTTTTTTTAGGACGTCATTTAACCCTCCCGCAATTACAACGAGGTTGCGATTGTTAGCTTTAGCTGCGAGTTGTTCACCCGCTTGACTCATTACTGTCCCCAGCGTTTGTCCTGGGAACGTCCCTATCGCAACTCTCTTGTCGCCTTTCACCCTTTCTTTGATTGCCGCTGCGCATCGGACTAAATTTGAGTCACCGGCGATGATGACCTGTTCAGACATTCCTTCTGAAACCTGCACCTGGCTGCTGACTAGGTGACTAGCGTGAGTCACGGCTGCTGGTTTGCTCCCTCCCTCCCTCAAAACTACTTCCCGGTAGCTGGGCCCTGTGGCCAATGTATCTGCCTTTGTCATGCCTGTTTCCCTCATCTCTCCCGCACGGTGGGTCGTCGCCATAGTGCTTCCGCCGTCACCTGCGTCTTCGTTCCCCTTCACGACCTTCGATAGGCCCTTCTCGGCTGCCCGGAGCCTTTCCTCCATGGCTGACGTTTTCTCTCGCTCCTTCGCCAATGCATTCTCCAGCTCTACGATTTTCTCCATGAGCCCACTCTGGACCGCCATCATATTTTTCATTTTCTCCTCGATCTCGCACTGTCTACACTTGGCGTCATCTTCTGCTTTCTCTTCCGCACTAATTTCCACCTTCAACCCTATCCCGCACTCTGAACACTTTACGGTCTTTTTGACCATGGCTAGCTCAGTTTACCGATGCCCACGTGTTAGAAAACTGTACTAAAATACACTGGTCTAAGCCAAAAAGAACCACAATAATAAATAAATACGCTACACTTCACAGCACCTGCGCATGCACGTGGTCGGTCTACGCGCAGGCCTCAGCCACGTGGTGGCTGGAGAAAAAAAAGACACAGTACAGAATACTAAAAAAAAAAAAAAACCGTACACCGTACTAGACCTAATCAAGCTTTACGCTAGCGCCTTACGTTCTCATAACGCTACATACAGAGGCAAGCTGGAAACATGCAAAAACACTTATCTGTAGCTGTCATTCCGGAGCTCTCCAAAAACACGTCCGACCTCGACGAAGGCGCCTCCCGAATCCCGAACGGATTTTATTACAACGCTCCCCCTAGCGTACGCCGCCGCACTGAATCGAACGATTGCCTTCAACCAATGACACGCGCCATATGTGACATCATTCCTATTTTATAAGATCTCGCGTCTTTCATCAACTACAAGTACCGCTTTCTAGTTTATAACATCTTGCATCTTTTTATCATCAGCTACAAGTACCACCATCTAGTAAACACTACAAGAACTAAACGAGAGGTGGCTACATACAGGAGACGGTACCGCCATCTAGTGAACACTGCAAGAACTAAACTAGAGGTGGCTACATACAGGGGACGGTACCGCCATCTAGTGAACACTGCAAGAACTAAACTAGAGGTGGCTACATACAGGCTACAGGGAACGCACAGCCCACGCCCTAAGGAGCTTCGCCCCTAAAAAAGAGAAAAGTGGGCCCCGTAACTGTCTCTCAGGGGGAGGACACCTCAACAGTATCTCACGAGGGGTGGGGGTAGAGAAGGGATTAAAAGGATAGGATTAAGAGGTATAGAAATGAAAAAAGCGGAAGGAGAGAGCGAGGGCAGGGACACGCGGAAATAAAGAGAAGATAAGAAAGTCGGACATGGTCGCAGGAGTCCGAGGACGGGGCACCACTCGGCGAGGGCTCTTGTCGGCGTCAGGAGATGGCGTAGGGCGAGCCCAGTCGGCCAGAGCTGCGCTGTAGTTGGAAATCGCGGGGGCACGACCAGTCAGCACTAAATTCAGAAAGTGAGTCCCCTCACAAAATAATTGTGTTCCACAGTCCGCGACATTTTCGCTTGAGTGCTAAAGAAGACAAGTACATGATAGACGACGGGGGACTCGGGCGTTTCCTGTCTCATCTCTCGCGTGATCGTCTTGTTTAACAATACAATCTAGATGTCGGGAAGGGTTCACATACACGCTCAGCAACAACCTATGCTTGGATGATGTTCCGCTCTCGCCGCCACAGCTATACGTATAGCACTGACTTAGTCCCAGGATTACGTTCATCGAGAGAGAAAGATAGAAGGAATGTTAGAAAGGCAGGGATGCTAATATATAGAACGTCTAGTTTACTATTCTATTTATGGGGAGTGGAATAAGGGGTAAAAAATGAGACGGAAAGAAAGGAAAACCATGTTTGCATGCACGGATTTTAGAACGCGCTCAGTGCGGGTATATGACAGGTGGGCCCCCCATACTGTTGTCTTCAAAAACTGCAGGGCGGCTCGCGTGGTTTTTCGAGTTGGACTGTGGGTCCACGCTCCCAAGATCTTTCCTTGAGTACATGGCATCGTAGCGTCCCGTCGAGAAATCTGTGGAGGGCTTGAGTAATGATTCAAGGTTATGAGGATGACTATTGGAGTTAGAGTGCAGAATTCCAGTGTGTCAAAGGTGTTCACATAGACCCGTATATAGAAGTCTCTACATGGAGAAAGAAGACATTTTCAAAGGAGCACAGCACAACGGAAAGAGAAGAAAATAACTGCAGTATATCAGCCACACACGCATCAACTGTTGTTTGCCCCCACTTTTCCCCAATGGCAAAGGCTCCTAAATGTTTTCGCGATGAAGTCAAACATACCACCTCTTTCATTGCCACAGGCATCATCGTGCACGGCGGAACGTACCCCAACATCATACCCGAGGAGAGCGAGCTCAAGTACCACGTGAGGGCGCCCACCACGGACGAACTGGTCGATCTGGTGCGCCGAGTGGAGAACTGCTTCCACGGAGCCGCTCAGGCGGCGGGCTGCTCGGTGGACATCGAGAAGGGGACCATCTACAAGCACGTCATACAGAACGCAGCCATAGCGAGGGCGTACAGGAAGCACGCGCAGGCATTGGGTGAGTTACGTTATTATGGCGACACGTTCGCTTAGCGGACATCTATAGCGAAAGAAAAGGACGTGTGCTGGATACTGAAGGCGTCGGAAAGATAACCGGTGGACCGTAAGAGCAGCGAAATGGTTACGAAGCTAGGGACGGGAAACACGGTCGGAGAAGGCAGAGAGTTTGGTGGTGAGACGAAATTAAGAAGTTTGCGGCAATAAAATGAAATCAGTTCACACACAAACGCTAAACTGGAGAACATTGAGAAATGCCTTCGTCTTGCGTTGGACCTAAATAGGCTGAACATGGCTGTGACGAGCCGCTGAGACGCCTGATTACCTCCCACGCTGCTCGAAAGAGGGTGCCGTGGCCTCGGCAAGTGCCTTATTTCTGAAGTGGTGCCGAGCACGCAATTACCAAGAGAATTTCTGGGTTGTCATTGCTACGAACCTCCTCGGGTGTGAAAGCTAAGGAAATGCGTAGCAATAGGCCGTCTGAGCTGCATTACGCGCAGGATTTACATTAGCAACTGCACCAAGACCCACAAGAATGACATAGGTCAGTGCGGAATTTATAACTGCACCACAGCCTGCACAACAACTACATTAACCCTACATTAACAACCGAATTATCGCTGGATGAGTGCAGATTGAGTCCTACAATTGGTACTAAATGTAGTTATTTTTTTGTTAAGGAGGCGCTCTTGTGAGATACTACAGCCTGCTTACAAGGGCGGTTGTTTACGTGCGCAGCACCTCTTGTTGTTGTCTGTTTTTTTGGACATATTTTATTCATTCTTTTGCATGTACTACTCCCAAGCGCAGGCTTCGAGTTCCAGGACGCTGACATGTCCGAGCAGCCGCCCACCGGTGCGTCGACAGACTGCGGCAACGTGTCGCATTGCATACCCACCGCGCATCCCGTCTACTCGCTGGGCATTGGGGCCCGCAATCACACGCGCGAGTTTGCGGTGGACGCCAACTCCGAGAAGGCCCAGGAACCCACGCTCAGGGTGTCCAAGGCCCTGGCCCTTACAGCGCTAGACCTGCTCACCGACCCGCAACTGATGGACGAGGCACGCAAGAACTTCGCGGAGCACGGTCGAACTCCGTAAGATATCGTTACCGCTGGTCTCAGGAACGGAACTTGGACTCACGCTTGTTCTCTTCGAAATGCCCTAAGCCTTTCGTTTTTATTAACCTAGAAACGCTGTTTGTTTTCGTGGCTGTTACGTCTCTTGTACATTAAAGTCTCGTGGAACTTCGTTCGATGACATCAGTGTGTGACCTACTGAGCACAGTTTATCCTTAGGCTTATTCTCCTCACTGCCTAAAGTGTTCAGCCGAAGCAGCACTGCATCGTGTTCTGTGGCCGTGTGAGACAATCACTGCCACACAACTAATACAACACCCAACAGCGTATCTGCGCGAGAAACTGCTGGCCAACGAGAGTCTGAACGACCAGCAGAGCCTGACTGACAGGGCTCGCTAAGGGGCAACGGCAAGCGGAACACTGGCAAGCGGAACACGGCAAGCGGTCCACAACTCCAAGTGCTCGGAGGTTCTTGAATCCACTTTTTCCGTTTTCCTGTACAGCGCACTGCAGTTTTCGTGGAGCTGTAGTAAAAGCCGGGCAAACTGGTATTGCTAGAACGAAGGCTTCCGAGATAGGGAAACGTTCCACGACTTTTCAGCTACAGGGGAGAGGTGTGCATACGCCATGGCATCGGGAAAAGGGTGGATTCCGCCTTTCGGAATCTGCCTTGGGGAAACTGTTCATTGGAAAGCTATTCGGAAACTATGCATACACAAATGCACACTCACCAACACACACGCTCGCACACTGTACCACATACCCGCACACACATCGAGAAATTTCAAGCTACCAAAACTGGCTACTGCAAGAAAGACTAAACTACCTTCTTTCATTGTTTCTCACATAAATGGGTTTGATAACAAATGATCCAAAGGTCCAAGTCGGATATTTGATAATGTGCGCCAAAACATACATTTTGTAAGTTCAAACGCAGAGGGAATACTGCCGATAACAATGTACTGCAATAAAACATGAGTTTTTTTCTTGTTTTTTTACGCGGACACTCTCTCACAGTGGCGCAAGCATGAACATAAATTGAGTAAAACATGTGACGTGAACGCATATACACAAGCAAATAACGTACTGAACGGAGAATAATGCTTACCTACAGATCACATTTACTGCTGTCCTCGGCCAGCATAACGATCAATCCAACACGCTCGATAATTGCGAGTCTCAAACAGGTGAAGAATCGGCAAGTTTGCTCATTGCAACGGCCGAGCAGCGCACTGAATAACGTCTCCGTTGTTATTGCCCCGTGGCCCATTTGCGGCGGATGCACTATTACGGATGTGTTTGCTCACTGTATCACCAGTCGCACACCACTCTCGTACAAAACACGATTGGACCAGGCATGCCGTCAAGGCACGTAGCGTAAAACCTGTTTAAATCGATGAAACAAATAGGCGCCCATAAGCGCAACTTCAAACGCCACACCAACCGCCTTGAATTCAAATTTTCTTCCCGGCATAGACCTCAAGCTGTGCAAGGACTTGGAGAGATGGTGCCATTGCTCCTTCGGTGATGTCGAAGCGCAGTGCTGGAAAACGCGACGCTTGTGACTCACCGCGAGCTCGCGCATCTCTCTATGCGCACTCACTGGAGCGGTTGTCGTTCGTTCTTTTGTGAACTTAGCGGCAACTTTTTCTCGTGTTGGAGAATTTATGACGGTTAAGCGTGTAGGGTGCAATGTTGTGACGTCACCTTCGCTGGACTTTACGGCCAGCGTATAATTACGCGAATAAAGGAAAATAAACGAGGCTACAAGAAAATTCAGATAAATTGTATTGTGTGTCTTGGAATGTATTTTTTGCACCACGTAATGGTTATTTCATCACATCGTTAGTTTAATGTTGTTGGTCGTCGTGTGACCACATCACTTTATCGTGTCGCCATTGAACATCGTCTGTATCTTATCCGTTGTAAGTGAAGCTTCCCGGGGGCGAATAAATTAGTCCCGCGGTCTGAAAGCAAAATGGATAAGGGAGCTGCTTAAGAAGTTATTTATCACAAGTGCTTAACCAAAATAAAGAGGTATTTTGTTGTGCATATGGGCAGAGGCCCATGTCTGTTTGAAATTCATGCCACTTCTTCAATTACGTGTTTTGGAAGAGGGCTAACGTTTTTGAACTGCAGTTTTAATGGGTGCCTTGCCATCGCTTGCCACAGTATCGCGTAATCTAAAATCACTCCTACAGTGATTTGCTCTTGTGCTCTCAAGACCCGTTATGTTTGTGCATTATTCACTGTTTAATCACTAAAGCCAGCCTTTAACAACAAATAGCTCAGTGTGACACATTCATAAAAATAACTTCAGCTCCATTCTGTATAGGTCCCCTGACGAATGAGTCATTGCGCTTTTATAAGCACTCTAAAGGTTGCAATCCTCATCTCAGTACTTTACCTTTTAAAATAAAATACTGCCGTCATTTTAACGTCTATGTGAGAGGAAAGTGAAGAAAATACAAGAATAAAATTGTTGTAACAGCCGTGTAGCTTATAAAAAATAACATATCCACGGAGTGAATGATGATGAGTGGGGCGAAACGTCCGGACGGAAGCACAGACGGATGGAAGCACGAACGGACAGGCAGGCGGGCGGACCCACGGACGGAAGCACGGACGGACTGATGGACACAGGGACGGACGGACGAAAGCACAGATGGCCAGACGGACGGACCGAAGCATGGGATCGTGCAAGGACGTGTGGATGAACGGAAGCATGGATAGACTCATGGACGGAAGCACAGGCAGACAGGCAGTGGACGGATGGAATCACAGACGGAAGCATGGACCGGCAGACGGACGGATGGAAAAAAGCACGGAAGTACCGCCATCTACTTCTATAACTCCTCTCTCCATCAACTACAAGTACCGCCATCTAGTGAACACTTCATGAACTAAACTAGAGGTGGCTGCATACTATCAAAGATTGGAGGATGTGCAGACTCTAGTAACGTTGGTACAGACCCACGTCCTAAGGAGCTTCGCTCCTAAAACAGTGGCGCATACTCGGGGGCGGGTGTGTGCCACAGGTGATGGCTACGTACTACATACGTCGGATTATGTACAGGCCCACGCCCTAAGTAGCTTCGCCCCCAAAATACAAGTTACCTGCCATTGTGACATTTCGTAAACGTTACCACGATTACCACATAGGTGGCGCCAGGGTATGTCCTCGAGGCCAATACGACAGACGAAGCCAGCAGAATATGGCAGCAGTGCACGTGCCAGCCCTGCATGCGCAACGAGCAGTGACCGAGGCGCCAGCATGCGGGAGGGTAGGCGAGGTTAGAGGCCAGTGGCTCGCTATATCGACACACTCCGCGTTAGCTCTCTTTCGTCCTCGTTCGCTATCTTTTCGTGCTCGTTTGTTCTATCGCCCTTCTTACTTGCCCCTTCTTTGCCGTTAGGGCGTGGGCGTCGGTCGCCACGCTCTTAATGGGCGAACGAGCACAGCGAAAAACGAGTGGGTCAGGAGGAACGCATTGCTTACTAATCCGCCAGTCAAACTTTTTAACGCAGTCACGTGGCACGGATCATCGCTTTCTTCCAATGCCACAGCATGGTCCCGTGCTTCGTACACGTAGTATCAAGATTTAAAACAGCTGTCCATAAGGCCAAGCCCTGCACGTTGTGCTAGGTTTCGGGGATGATGGCTCCACATGCAGGTTACTCTAAAAAAGGGGGAGAAAGACAATACAACAAAAAGCGCCTGAAAAGATAGAGCCAAATGGGGCCTAACTGTCTCGTGAATTGATTAGGTTGTGCCTATAGCAAAGAAACGATCCCTTCTAGCAGCTCTTTTTTCGTCCCTACTCTGGGGAGGTGATCGAGGTAAGCGCATGCCCCTAAAGTTCACGATATTGTCGTGTACTTTTTTCTAGTGCTGTCGTGGTCATCATAAGTTTTTTTTTTAACTTTCATCCTAGCATGTTTCCTTCTTTGACACCCTTTTTCACTTACCTGCGCACTGAACAAAGGTGATCGTTCTTTCCGATCAAATGTATTGCACAACCAGTCTTTCCGGTGTGGCTCCCCATATTTGACTGCATTTTCTCTTCTTCTTTTGCTCTAGCACTCGCCCATCGCTTTTGGCAGATGCGACATCATCAGCGCCCCGAATGCATGGCAGTGAAGCAAAAATTTGTCTGTCGTTCAAAGCCAGGACAATATAGCTTGACACACTGAGTTTGATCCTTCGGAACGCTCGTTTCTGGACTAGTACGAAAAAAAAATAAATGCAAAGAAACATTCCAATTTTCCTACACACCTGATTAGAGTTTCGAGCTGTTAGGGAATGCTGCGATAGTTAACTGATGTCCGACCAATTAGTGACTGAGTGACTGAGTGCGCGCGTGTGTGTGCGTGGGTAAACCCCGCTGAATTTCTAATCTGGTCGGCCCACTGAACTTTATTTTAGATTTTGTCAGTTGCCACAATGGGTTTCGCCTGTAGGAACCGTCCAAATTCTTCGGCGATCCAAATATATTTTTCTACGAACGTGTATTCCGTGGCCCCCCTCGCATGTGGTTTCCCTCTCGCGTGAGAAATGCACCGAGCGCGAGCTTTTTTTCCCGGGTGAATGAAAAATACCGTAACAAGCAGCTGGCGCGTCTGCGTTTCTAATACGTGCGGATTGGTCGCAGCAGCAGTTGACCTCGATCCCCACTCTCGCGTACCTTCCGCCCCGTACGCGCACGAACAACAACAACAAAACGAAAAAAAAACATGTCATGCCCAGTTGTACGACTATAGCAATTCGAGCGATAGCAGCGACAGTGGAACGCGCAAACGTAGCCGTTTTGGGGCACGGACGGGCAGTTTCCACTGCAGAGCCCAAGCACGCCGCTACGGCGGCGGCGTCAGTCCCCGAACACACGTGCAAACGCGTGTTTTCTCCTGTCCTTCTATTCCGCAAACACAAGCCGTTCCCACGTTAGAAGCAAGAACGCGGGAGAGGGAAAAAAAAACGTAGCAAAAAGAAATCCTTCGCGACGCGAGACGACCTCCTTGCAACGCTTTGCGGCACTCGGAAGGCGCGCGTCTCTAACGGGACGCTCGGTGTGTGTGTTAAAGCTTCGGTCCTTGGCACTGCCTCGTGGGCTTGCGTCCAAGTGAGTATCGCAGCACTTCCGTCACCTTCTAAAAGGCCGCCAGCTGTGCGACCCAGTTGCATGCGACTCATCGTGCCAAGCGCAAGGCCGTTCCAGTACAGTCTGCCGCCTCTCGAGGGACTCGTCGTGTTGTTCGGGCTTCGGAGAGATAAACGCGTACTCAATTGAAAGCAATTAAGCTTTGCCATTGAACGACGAGTCTCCTTCTCCCACACAACCTACAGCCGTAGATATCGCCGGAACGATGGGAGTTAGTTTTAACACGCCAGGCGTAGAAACGGCCCACCGCATCAGACGCTGGCTGCGTCGTTCAGTGTGATTTCGTCGTATACGTTATTTCAGCGCGTCTCGCTGTCGCAAAACGCCATACCACGCGCAACGTGAAAAGGTGCTACATCGCTGCTACTCCACTCGCCGTGAAAGCATATTTGTCAGTTCGCCCGCTTAGCCTGGCTCGGCCCCTGTTCGCTCGAAACGGCGCACCTGCACGAAGCGAGAACATGGACAGACCCTTCAGCAAGATCGTCAACAACGTGATCGAGGGAAAGTCCGTGGACTTCTGGACGCTGTCGCGGTTCATCTGGGAACACCCGGAGTTGGCGCTCAAGGAGGAGACGGCGCACGACAAGCTGTGCGAGTTCCTGGAACTGCGCGAGTTCAAGGTTCAGAGGCACTACCTCCTGAACACGGCGTTCAGGGCAGAGTTCGACGCGCCCGGCGGGACTGACGGTAAGTGAAGAAACGTTCGCGGATGCGTAACAAAGATTACTGCGTAACATGATCTGGATTGGGAATCGTTGTGCATTCGATCGGACGAACACAGAAGGAAAAATACAGAATAAACGTTTAGATCGCGAGCTATCAACTGAGCGCAAACTATCAAACTTGACTATCAAACTTGAGTTGATAGTTCACGCTCTTTTCGTTTACTCTATCTTTTCCCTGCTGCGTTCGTCCGATCGAATGCGCAACGATTCCCATCACAGATATGCACCCACTCACCAAGCAAGAAGTTGTTCTAAACTACTTGCATAACTTATCATTGATAATTGCTGAAATACTCGGGTAACAAACACAGCTAGGTTTTACAGGCATGGCGAGTGTGAGTAAGTTAAATAACTTTATTGAATGCCGTCCTATTGAGGCCTGAGCCTGTAGGCCAGTGTCGGAAAAGAAGACCCTGTCTTTGAGCGGTTGCTTCACGTGCTCCCTGAATCGGTCGTACTCAATCTTGCAATCTCTGCTGATCAGCATGCTGCCCACCACGTCTCAAGCTGTTCTTAGGATGCTGCATTCCCATCCTCTGCATGTGCGGATTTAAAAAAAAAAGGGGGGGGGAGCTCTAAGGTGGCCTTCCATACAAAAGAGTGTGTGGGAAGTTTTTTGCGGAAATGGTTTGGCATGTCCAACAAGATGGATGTGCATATTTGGAGTTGTACAGAATATTGTCGTTTTTATCGGTATATACGAGCATGTGTCCACGGAAAGCACTTATGGGTAATTTTTACATTGTCTTGTTTTGCTACGTGTGCTTCGAGGGGGGGGGGGGGGGGGGGCAAAGTGGGACCAGGCATTGAGTGAGGTGCCTTGTGAACCCCACTTCCGCGACTTCCGCCATTCCTTTTTCTAATGTTCATATCCTATAGTGTCTGGTTGTCAAAGGCTTGAGGCATTCCGTGAAACGCACAGGGATAAAACAGGGGATTCCAGTGCCGGATTGTGCCGAACCTTGCGGTGGCATAGAAATGAAATGGAGACAAACGAAACTGTGCATACTAACTACTGAGAGGAATAGTTCGCGCACGTCCTATAAGGAATTTGGTAGCTGCCCTCATCGGCAAGCCAGAAGAATTGAGTTCTGCTCTCACACACACAAAAACAAAAGTCATGCAATCGCAAATGTTATATTGTACGCTTCTATAGCGTGGAACTTGCTAGTCGACTAATAAGACGCGTCTCACGAGAGGAATAAATCCGCAGAGTATCGTCTTGTTATCGATGAACAGATTTTTCTCTTGGTGAGTTTTGCAAGCGCGGTATTCATATTGACTATCCCAAAGAAGAAAGAAAAATCGCGTATGACGCGCAGTACTACACGGGTACGCGCTCATTGGTGCTAATTCTGGCTAACGACGTCAAACGCTGTATCAGACGCTTTACTAATACGAAAGCCTTAGATATGCCTCGTGAAACACGAAACTCGACCTTCAACACGAGTGATGCAAGAAATGTGGTCACTATACGTTATGACGACCCCGTACCACGCAATAGATACCAAATTTTTTTTGTGACGTCATACGATGACTTCATCACACGACACCGTCGCTTGGTCAAAGGTGGACAAATCACGGAGGCAGTGCTAATGCAGGTGAGGTGCGTAGGGCTAGCAATTGCTCCGATCTTGGAGGCAGTGCCAAACTACACTATCGAAAGATTATCGCCTTTAACTATAATAACGGGGGTCGTATACGTCCCAACACCGCGATAAGATTGTGGGAGACGCCGTCTTGGAGGGTTCCACAAATTTGGACAATCTGGTGTTCCGTAGCGTGCTCCAACATCGCTCAGCGCATGGGCCTCTGCCATTTCACTTCCATCGCAATGCGTCCGCCAAGGCCGGAATCGAACCCGCAACCTTCGTATGATCAGCAGAGCACCGTAATAGCTACACCACCATGGTGGACTACGAATCCATAAGGGACCCCGTGAGTTTTACACCGGATTCACGCGTCCTTCTTGGTAGACACCGTACTACGCCTCGACGAGCCTCGTAGAGATACAGAAGTGAACTTACTACGATGTCGTTGGAGCGCATGACCGATAGGAGCCTTATCACTGGTGTGATAAGTCGCACCGCGGCACGCGCCGCGGCAAAAGCCGTACGCCGTAGATGTAACCACTGAGTGATAAGACAGTGAATGAGCACTAAACTGAATGTCGTGTCTTTGGCTGCATGGCGGGCCTACGAGCGTGATACCAACAAAAGCAAAACTTTTGCGAACGACTTTTTTGTTTGTTGCGTCGATAACGTGCAGCTGCCCGTAGAGCCGTTAAGATTTTCTGGTACTGATTGATTCGCAACCACTGCCTATGAGGTTGCGAAACATTTGGTAAAGGTTTCCGAAAATTTTCATAAACGTTTTTACTCTTCTTGAAATAGCTATTGCACCCATCGCGGTGGTTTAGTGGTAAGACAGATTATTGGGCTTGTGTGTCATTGGGAATCAACATATTTGCCGAGCCCAAGACTACGAATAGTTACGACGTAACTACAGAAGAAGAGACAAGGAAGCGCTCTTTCTGTCCTTGTCTCTTCTTCTGTAGTTACGTCGTAACTACTCGTAGTCTTGCGCTGTGCAAATATAATGGTTTAGTGGCTATGATATTCGACTGCTGACTACGCAGGTCGCGGGATAGAGTCCCCGCTGCGGGCGACTGAAATTTTTGATGGAGGTGAAAATGTTTGAGACTCTTGTTTCTGGGTTTAGGTGCACGTTAAAGAACCCCGGGTGGTCGAAATTCCCGCAGCTCTCCTCAGCGGCGTCTCTCATAATACCTCATGGTTTTGGGACGCTAAACCCCAACAGCATCAATAGCAACAAGATAGGCATTGCCTGTTTCGTTACGAAATAGTTACGAAATTACATGATATTGAACCATTTCCAAACGTCGCCTCGTAGTCGTACACAAGGTTCTGTGTTCAGAGGAGTTTAATTTACACTGCATCTCTTAGCTGCGTTGGAGCTGTGATTACGCTGCTGCGCTGCTGACCCTATATAATGACGCGGCTTAAACATTGAATACGGTAGTGGCGTTTTAGCGAGTTTTCGAATAGCGTATGCTAAGTTTGCGGGCGTAGCGTTTGCGTACGAGTGCCACTTGAGTTCTCAAATAGCGTTTGTTCCCGCAAACGCTGACGCACGCTCACGGCAAGATCGCTCAGCACGAAGGGGCTTTGCGGGTCTTGCGGGCCGCACGCTATTTCGGATTTCTCGCGGGCCCACTACAAACGCGAACGGTGGTTTGCGTTACGAGGCATGCGCAGTGGCAGCGACCGCACCGCAAAGGCTTGCGGTACGCTATTCTAAAACTCCTTTTTGAGGGAAGCGATATGTGAAAGGCCCATGCACTTCGCGATGTGAGTAAATATTAACACAAAAGGATTATTACTCCCTATATATATATATATTATTCGCACGTTCCGTGATGTGTCTGCAGGGTTTTCAAATAAAAAGCACAGAAAAAACAATAGAGCAAACGTCGGCATTTTATCACATCGGAAGCACGTGCACTTGGAAAAATTCATGGCTCAACGCTAGGGGGCCTTGCATTTTACTTTAGGTGGACGCTATAAAGGAGCACAAAATGGTGCGAGGTTCCGGAGCCGTCCACTACGGCGTCTCTCATAACAATTTCGTGGTTTGGGGACTTAAAAACCCCCAAAACATGGTGTTCGTTTAGAACGTTTACTTAAGGTCGGCACAGCTCACGCTGAGCGCACAACTGGTGTGACGACTGTCATAGTTGTTGGAAATGTAACAAGAAAAAAAAAACTTGAGCGCATTGCTTGTGTCACACAGCGAGGCCGACGTTTTTGTATCCGCTGCGGTGAGCGATGCACGACAGCTGGAACAACCGTCTGCTAGCTTGCAGCCAACGCGTGGTAACCGTGGTCACATTTTTTGCATTTCGTAGTCCTTCTACATCTACGGCTGTCCTGGATACCTCTACCAGGCCACGCCACTTCCCGTTCCGCCCGTAGTTTTCAACGAGAATTTTTAATGAGAAACGAAGGCTTGAATTTTTTCAGTTACCTTGGTAATTGTGGCACAGGGTGCGACTTTGTGTAACAGTTCTGCGCACAGTCAAATTTGTCACCTGGTCGGCTTTGATTGATCCGGAGGATGCTTAAGGCCTCGCCGATTAAACCAAAGGGAACCTAAAGGCAAATAGCAATTTACGTCAGTGTAAAAGCTGAATTCATAACGTCTAAAACGGCAATATTATAAACAGCAGTGCCATACCCACCGATAAATCGAGAAAAATGTGTCACACGTCGTGCGCCACTAGTTGGACCTTTTGGAATTGGTCCTTATGACGTCAGAGCGTCCTACTATACGGTTATTCACTAGAAATCAAACTAGCTGCCATAAAAGCATGACATATCCATGAAGTTGATGGTGATGAGTGGGCGAAGTAGTGTAATCGTTTGGTGTTACTGTAAATTACCCGTGAGACGGGCCACTCACTCATGTAAATGAGTACCAAAGCGGTGTACAGTTATATGCAATGTTTATTGGTCATAAATGATATGTTGTGTTTAATTGTGAAGTTTGTTTTGCCTTCATTATTACTGCTTTGTAGTGTCGAATCTTGTCTGAAGTTGGCAAATACGAAGTCTGCCAACGTTAACGTGGTGGTGTTGGTAGTTTCCAGTCTTACTAAATGCATCGCAGAACTTGTCGAGACGCCACTTGGTGCACAATCCAGTCGTGTTGTCTTGTCTTGTCGCCTAGATCTTGGCTCATACCCACAAGGGTGATTGGCTACACCGTAATTTATAAGGGAATTATTTTATACAACGCTTGCTAAAAAGAAAAGAAAAAATAGATAAGAACAATAATAATGTTTCTTTGAAAAAAACGAAGCCAGTCGTTGTCTGTGAAATTCATCGTCATCGTCTTGGCGTATAGTAGGTATACCTGGTATGTACTGTGCCGTGATGGCAGAATGAGAATGTGTGGTCTGGAATGCGCTTGTTGTTCATCGCCATCAACGTCATTGTCATGACGAACAGCGAGCACCTTCTATGGGCTGGGCCGACATGGCTCGGCCAAAAGGCTCGATGATGGCTCGACGATGGCGGACATAGCTCGACCCAAAAGAGCTTCACCCCTAATATTTTGTGTGCATGTATGGTTATGTCTGTTCCGTAATACCGGTGCTTGTCATCAATTGTGACATAACCAAGCCAGCGCATCTCATTTGCTGGCCACGCCCACGGCGACAACTGGGGTAAAGAGCCTCACCCCCGTATTCTAGAACGTCCCTTCACTCAACGCTCCACCTTCACCTGAGAAAGCCGATGGGAGCGCCGTCTGTAGTCACGACAAGTCACTGCACATCAGCGATAACCTGCTGCGATTCTTGAGTAGCGCAGCGCCATTTGCAGCCGAGGGGTGGCGCAGTGCTCAACTCTGTCAAGTGAAGGGTGGAAGTCGAGCCGAGGAGCGTTTGTGAATACGGGGGTTTAGAATTGTTTATAGTTGCTCTGAGCGCGGATGCAAGAGTCGGAGATTGTCTGAATTTATCGAAGCGATTAGCTTTTATTTGTGAAAGCGCTTTGGTTCAGTTCGTTCTTCGATGCTCTTCTTCTGTCATCATGCGTGATGTGTTACGCCTGTTAATATGTATACTGATCCTGAACATGTATTATTTTATTTCTGTATTGGTTAGCCCTGTTCATACTTGTACCCATCCTGCATATGTATTACATTTGTTATATGTTTTCCACCCCTTATGTGATACCCCCTCTAGGGGGTCTTTAAGGTAATAAAGTGAAGTGAAGTGAAGTGATGTTCGACGCAGGTCCCACAGTAGCGTTCCTCTGCGAGTACGACGCCCTGCCCGAGGTTGGCCACGCGTGCGGCCACAACCTGATCGCCGAGCTGGCCGTTGCAGCCGCCATTGCCGTCAGGGACGCCATGAAGTTCTCGCACGCGCTACGCGGAAAGGTCAGTGCTAACGGTAGATCCGCTTTCTGGCCTGGACTACCAAGTGCCATTTCCCGTCATGGTCTTCCCCTTGAAACTTTTCCAATGGTATACAGAGCAAAAAATAACCATTTTCCCACCTGGCCCATACCTCAGGTGTAAGAGGTGCCCCCCCCCCCTAAAAAAAAAAGTTTTGCCTACGCTCCTGCTACCAGTCCTGATGTTCTTGAGTCCAGAATCGCATGTAGCTAAAGTTGCCAACATTTTTGCCGCCTGAATGAAGGGCCTCCATTACGACGGTGTTCACATGGATCCACGCAGTGCTTTGGCAGTAGTAAAGTATAACTTCGCGATTGTTCCCATTTCTCCCGTGCAGGTCGTCGTGCTGGGAACCCCGGGCGAAGAGAACTGCGGCGGAAAGCAGATGCTCATCGACAAGCGCGCCTTCGAGGACATCGACATCGCGCTCATGTCTCATCCCTTTCCGTACGAGGCCCTCCGGACGGGCTTCACTGCAAGGCAGCAGGTACCACTACATATCGAGTCGAGCTTTATCCGTACATTTGGGCGCGTTTGTGCCCAGATGTACCAATAGAGCTTGAATAGATTTACGAACGAAGTTGTACGAAGAGTGAAGCGCGCGTAGCACTCATAAAGACGCCACGCGCGCTTCACATAGGCTCTTTATGCACGTCTAATGGCAGGAACAGGCTAATACAGCCGATGACCTTTGCTGATACTGGGAGCAGTGCCAGATTTTTTTTCTTTTTTACAAAAGAGAGAGACAGAAGGCGGGGTGATGGTGGGGAACTTGTATGTGGTATTTTGACTGTGCGTGCTTTTGAAGGGAGGGGGGCAAGCGGAACTTTTGGAGGGGGGGGGCTGCCGTTCTTTCAGCCCCCGGAAAGCACCGTCTCTGACTATGTCAAGACAAAATGTCACAGATGCATTGTGACAATATATGCACAGGAAGCGTCAATGGGATAAATAGGTGTGCAGTTCTTGTGGGGCTACTTTATGTGACGTCACTAGCAAATTAGTTGAGCATAAGGGACGAATGAGAGAGAGACAGAGACGTGGAGCGAAAGTGACTACTAGGTGTTCTATTCGGACCAGCACAATTTCATTTATACACTCTACAATACACAAGAAGACATGCGTGAGACCACAACTGTAAATGAAAAATGAAAACAAAAAAAACACCGGTATGTGTTATCGATTTCTTCGTGAAATACGGCAAATATTGTATTCCTGCCATATGTTCGACCTAGCATGTGCCAAATGATTGCTTTGTTGGCAACTTGTCATACTGACATGATGATAGTTATAGCGCGAGAACAAAACGACGAGACAGAGACAAGAAGGACACTGAAAGACACGAGTAGCTCGTGTCTTTCGAGTCCTTCTTGTTTTTGTGTCGTCGTTTTGTTCTCGCGCCGTTTTGTTCTCGCGCTATAACTATCGTCATGCCATACCAACTAGCCCAAGCTGCCACACTTCTAAGTTGTCATATGACATTTAAAAAGTCTTTTTTTTCTGTTTTTATTTGAGGCAACGGCTCTCGCATGTCTCTCAATGTCTTGTGGATTAGTTAGGTCACATCCTCACAGATTATTCAAACATTGGGTAGTGGCATTCATGCCGTCTCCTATGTTTGACCTGATTTGCACCCATAGCCTGGCAGCTAGACTGGATTCGTGGTTATAATACATACAGGACAGTAGTCAGTGGCATACAGTCATGGAAATTAGGCCACATTTAATGCAAGCAGCCAGGCTCTAGGTGTGAACAATTGCCAATGAAGGGACACTATACTTGAGTCAATGTTTTAAGTTGCGTAATGCACAAGGTATGTAGAAGGAAAAAAGAAATAGACAACGCACAATGAAGTGAACGAAAAATGTCCCCGTATCTGCATGTTACACTGCAAATGTCGTCGAAAGAAGATAGTCTTGCGTCTGAAGATAGTGAACAAAATGTTTATTTGATGTTCTGCGCAAGAAAATCGGTGAATGCTATTCTGGAGGCGCTGCGTTAGAGTGCCTCGTGCGTGCAGCGGAGGTGAACGAGCGCATCAAGTCACGTCACACGTGAGACATGAGTGCTATCTGGCAGTTATCTTGGAAAACGAAGCGCGCGGCGTGCGCGCCCATCTCGGAGGCGGTAAGGTGTAGAACGCAAAGCGACAGGTATAGGTGCCACCACCGTTTCGTCTTAGCAAACCGTTGGAAACATTTGCCTTTTCGTGCAAGCATTGCATAGTCAGTGCAGCGTGATGAACGCTACGGTCCTTAAAATTAGTCATGTATGTCTTTTCTAGTAAAATACACACATACAGAATATTGACGTGTTCTTATGGTGCCTCAGATATGCACAATAATTGCTTCTTAATTGGCAATTGCACAAGTATGAATGCTGAATCTTGAGCAGTATTGGTGGGCGCTGCGCATCGGGTCGGCCGTTTAAGGTATCATCTGTTGCCGTTTAAGTTACCGTTAAGGGCGGACAAACACACAAACGTACAGACAGACACCAAAACGTTTACTTCAAAAGTCCCCGAAAAAACTATTGTCTTAAAAAAAGCCTCTGTGTTGTTATGACACCGTGCGCTACACGTTCGCTATGACATAGTTTGCCTGCAAGGACGTAGGACGTCTTATTGCGAAATTTCAACGGCGCCGACGAAAACTATTCCATCTGTGTTCAACAGTTCAATAAGATGGTACCTTCCATGTCCCATTATAACTATAAGTATTTGCAAATGGTATCGTACTATTCCATCTGTGTTCAACTGTTTAATAGGATGGTACCTTCCATGTCCCAATATAACTATGAAGTATTCGCAAATGGTATCGTCCTATTTATGTGGCCTTTCACATACTTGACGTGATAGGTGACGGTCCGTTTCCGGGGCAGGTCGGCCCATGCCGCTGAGTCCGCCTACAAGGGCCTCAACGCTTTGGACGCTGCGGTGGCCTCCTACATGAACATCTCCTTGCTACGTCAGCAGATCAAGCCCACCAGCAGGGTTCATGGTCAGTGATATTCTTCGTTGATTGATTGATTTGTAGGGTTTAACGTCCCAAAATCACCATATAATTATGAGAGACGCCGTAGTGGAGGGCTCCGGAAATTTCGACCACCTGGGGTTCTTTAACGTGCACCCAAATCTGAGCACACGGGCCTACAACATTTCCGCCTCCATCGGAAATGCAGCCGCCACAGCCGGGATTTGAACCCGCGACGTGCGGGTCAGCAGCCGAGTACCTTAGCCACTAGACCACCACGGCGGGGCGTGATGTTCTTCGTACAAGCCTGCCTTAGGACTGAGATAGAAATTATAAGGACACCTCCTTCGATGGGTTCGCGCTTTTGCCGTTGGCGCCCCCGTTACGTTCTGTCCGAATCGATAGGCTCACTCCACGCTTCACATCCTCTATGTGCGAGTAAAAGCCAGCGGACGCAGGCGACGAACGCGCCTGAAGCGCGGATGAAACGAGCCGGCCATCTCAGTCGCAAGGAGGGCGAATGCGATAACGTATCAGTCCGCGTTCCTAGGCCTGCTATCTTTTACTCATCAAGAATTTCTCCGCCTTTCGCTACATAGTTTCCTAATATACACTCGAGGGAACTCTGGAACTTAGTGTCTATAAGAGCTGCAACGCACGGCACTTCAGCGAGCATGAGAATGATGGGTAGTACACAGATTTGTCTAATCTTCGTACTTCTGGCCTGATTCTGGCTCCGTGTGTGTTCGTGTGGCTTGCAGCTGTTCTCTCACGAAACAAGAATTAGAAAACGTTCAGCGGTTGTGCTTTACTGCCTTATTTTTTAGGCTTACCTTTTCAAATAAGGTCACGAATTTCAGAAAAGTTCGTTCTTCCCTTCGAAACGAATTCGAAACACAGCCATAACTGAAGCCACAAGTGCGATTCGCCGCCCGCAAGTACGAGAACTAGGCAAATCTTTGTACTACCCATCATTCCCATGGCCGCTGAATGATCGCAGCGCCAGAGTCCTCTCTATTAATTTTACGAAACGGTACGTTTCGCAAGGAACATTAAAATAGGCCATAGAAAAAGGAGGTGGAGGGTTCTGCGTCGCTGAAAGAGCGTGGTCACCCGCGTTATGTCTGCAGACATCAGGAAGCGGCTCGTATGCCCTTCTAGCCGTTCTACGTGTTATTCTCTCACCACTTCGCGTTAAGAGTGCAGTCCGCTCGAAATCTTTCTCCCTCCGTGTAGCGGCCGTATTCCCGTACCACAGGCTGGTAGAGTTAAGTGAGATGGAATCCAAAAAAGTTAGCACCTAACGTTACTTCGTATAACATTACGACTTATTGATATCGAATTGATTATTTCACCCGACACAGCCAGTTACAACGGCTGGATACATGAAAACAGATTCCGCAAGACACTACTTCACTTCATACACAACACCGGCCTAACAGCACACCTTTAACGAAAATATCATGCCTTAAAGGCAAGTATTTGTCGCAAGTGAAAAAAAAGAAATCTAGATTATTCTCGATTTCACTTCTTTTCTAAAGTACGAAGTGTAGAGGAGGGAAGTGGCACGCACGAAGACAGCACTAACCAGCAGTCGCATGCCGTGGCGGTTGGTTAGTTTTTTGTCCCACCCATCTCGTGTGTGCGTCGTTTTTAGAACTTGCTCCAATACTCGCAAAAGCAAAGGGTGATGGTGCACGTGTTGCTGCGCAGGCGTGATTCTCCGGGCGGGAACCTATCCCCAACGTGATACCGGAAGCGAGCGAACTGAGCTACCACATCCGCGCCGTGACCCTGGCTGATCTCGAGGAGCTGGTGGGCCGCGTCGAAGGCTGCTTCCGGGCGGCCGCCCTGGCCACGGGCTGCAGCCTCAACTTCGAGTGGGGCATCCGCTACAAGAACCTCGTGCACAACGTCGCACTCACCGAGGTGTACCGGAAGCACGGACTAGCGCTGGGTAATCCCACTTCCACGAAAACTCGCACAGTCCCAGAATGCATTCTCTAAATGGTGCATTAAGACGACGGACCGAATCCGGATGTGGCGGGACGGATGGCGCGTCACGTGAGCTCACATCAGTGATTTCCCTCGTCCGCGACTCGTCCACGCGGCTCGCGGACGGATGAACCCAACCTGTTTCTCACATCGGGATTCTGGCGGGAGAAATCCGATACTTCAGCGGATTAGCTTGGGGTTTCTGGCAACCAGTACACTTTTTGTCTGCTCGCGGCATGTCCTCCATGGCTCGCGGACAGCTAGCTGCATGACGGGTCGGCATCATCTACGCTTGAGCATGGTTTACTTAGTTTCCGGGGGCTTTGTTCTCAGGGGATTAAATACGCGGAAATCACTCTTGTCGTTCGGGAAATGTCGCCGCCGTTGTTTTGACACGCGAGATTCTTAGCCGCCATGGTGGGGAAATATTCTAACTTCTGCAACCGGCGACGTGCCGCTTCTAAGAACGGATGGGAGACGCATTCAGAAGTTCTACAAGTGGGGAACAATGGTGTTGAAAGAACATTCTGCCAGCAACTACCTTTTCTCCTGACAAAATAACACTCCTCGTTCATTTGTCACAACGTGACAGACATCGCAGCCAAGCGTCGCTTCTTGCGGGCATCCATGTTGAATACTCTCAAACCGGTCTGCTGCCAGCGGGCGCAGGTGAGCGCCGAATCTGCTGTCGAGGGTAATCCGGCTGTTTTCCCCTAGGACACCGTCCGTCGTGTGGATGCGCCTGCAGGCGGATCATCCGTGGATTAGCTGTCCGCGTCCATGACAAATCCGGATTCGGTCCGTCGTCTGAATGCACCATAAGAGAGTTCATTCGTTCATTTGTTTGTTTTTTTGTTTGTTCATTTGTTTATTTGTTTCTTTCATTGTTTGTTTGTTTGTTTGTTTGTTTGTTTGTTTGTTTGTTTGTTTGTTTGTTTGTTTGTTTGTTTGTTTGTTTGTTTGTTTGTTTGTAGCCTGGATACTGTGACAAAAACTCGAAGGCAAAGGCCATCTTCGATTACTTCCCAGTTCATGAATTGATCCATCTCCGCCCCCGTCCGAAAGCTATTTACACCTAACGTGGTTGTGCGCCGCTACCAGGATCGCAGGAATTGCAAGCTTCGCTGAGCCTCAAGGATTTCCCCCACCGGCTTCGTGATCGGCCTATCTTTTGGCTAAGCGATGGTGTCACGTGATGTCGTCATCGCGTGACGCCATCGTGACGTCCTAGTGAAGATGGTGTGATATGGAGACGTCGTCACGAGAGGATGATTTTTTTTTTTGCGTAACTCGTGTTGATGCGTAGGCCACCGATGGTCAATTTTCGCTTTCGATTAGGCGTATGACGGTCTCGCCTTAAGATACAGAAGTTCATTAAAGATGGATGTTTGACGGGAAGAAAAATTATTAAACATGACTTGTCGATGTAATCAAACGTTTCGCGAGGTGGTCTTTGTTTTATGAATGCAGCGCAAGTGTCTCGAAAAAGTTGTCTGGAAAAAGTCAGCACCATTTGTCGAAATAAATGGTGGCTCCACTGACGCCTTTAGTTAAAAAGATTTTCGTGTGTGTAATCCGGCTCATTAGGCGTACTAGGAAAGTATGCAAGCCGGACTGAGAGAATCGGTTTCATATGCGAGAGCATGCGCTGCCCAAGTTTAGAAGATAAGAGCCATGACAGTGCGTAAGGTGTCGACCTGCTGAGCTCGACAACGTGAGTTCGATTCCCAAAAACGGCGGCCGCCTTACGACGGGATAGAAGCGCGAACACCACCGATGTGCTTGGATTCAGGTACAAGTTGAAGAAGTCTTTGTTGCCCTAAATCAATTCTTGGCTCCCAAATAAGGTGTGCCTCATGATCTTATCACGGTTTTCATATTAAAACACTACCTGTTCTAAATAAGCTCAGAAGACTAGAGCCGATTAAACAATCTGGTTCATGACGCGATGACGTCATTTGTGTGTCGTGTTTGTCAGATCAGATGGACTGCGAGTTGCCGGGTTGAAGTTGCCGCAACAGAGAGTATACAGTTTGAAACTGTTACGACCCGGACAAAAGAGAGGCAGAGAAACGAAGAGGAAAGGCAGGAAGGCTAACCAGGCCGGCCAGGCTTTGCTTCGGTAGAGAGAAAACTCTGCATGCGACAATGGGACGTGACAGAATAAGGCGCACAAAATTCTGTTCACTATCGACCGGCTGTCACTTCAACGCGTTTTGTTTTACTTGAACGAGTTACGTGAAATAGGCAAGCGCTCGTTCTTCTTAATTTCTCGTCTAACTTTGTGTTGGACACATTAAAAGCGAATCCAACAGATAATTGCATGAAGGAAGACTTGGGGGCATCGATTGTTTCCTTAAACTGCAGCGTAGGAATTGGGGTGTAAATTGAGAAGTTTTACGCTAAACGAAAAATCACCTTTTCCGTCGGTGGCATCCGAACCCACAACATTCGTATGACGTGTTCATGAGTACCCATTAAAGTAGACAAAAAAGCGCCTTGCGTCATGACTAAATTGGTAGAGAATTGGACGCGTAAGTCAAGTGTTTTCTGTTGTTGTTGCTGTTTGTTGTTATTCCAAAGTCTCACTGTGTTTTCATCCGTTTTAATTAACTTCGTTTTACATCATAATTAATAAACTAAAGAGAACAATTATTGTGCTTATTGTGTTCAAGGCGTTTTCTGACCCAATAGGTTTTTGAATTCACTTGATTGCGTTTAACATAGCACCGAGTACTTTGGGAAAGTTACATGGTCACTCATTCTTAAGGCAATTGGAAGGTTAAAAAGATTCTTCGTCCGAAAGTTCTGCTCGTCTAACTCGGCCTCAGCTGCCTCATCATAGGAACCGAAAGCTTTCCGCACATCATCATCATCATCATCACGGTTGTCGTCATCATCATCACCATCATCATCATCATCATCATCAGACTGACGCTGGCCAAAAGCCTGTCTCATTTTCCGCCAATTAACCCAGTCATGTGCTTTCTGCTTCGACGTTGTAGTATCTGCAAGTTTCGTCTGCCCACCTAACTTTCTGTCTGCTCCTCGCGCCTTTGCTTTCTCTTGGAAATCAGTCACCCACTCTTAATGACCTATTTTGCCTTAATGTTATACTGCCCAAGCGCTATGGGCCCGGACCTTGCCCATTACTTCTTGATTTCAACTACTGATTGACTTTCGCACGTTAATGGTCTTGCAATGCCTCCGTGATCAGAGGCCCGTGTTCGACAAAGCAACGGTGTAATGTGATCGCGTCCTTTTGTCAGATCAAGTGATGTGCAGCTATCCACGGGATGTGCCGCTATCATGAAGTCATAAGTCCTGGCAACCTGTGACGTCATGATGTCGCCATTGTGGGGCGCAGCACGTCCCAACATTTTTTTTTATCACTCGTGTTTGACGCCCCGATGCCGACGGTTACATTTCGTGGTACGCGAGACATCTAATAATTCCTGCTTAAACAATTCTGTCGTTTTGTTTCTAACTAGGCGTGGAGTATCTGGACGCCGACATGAAAGAAGTAGTGCCCACTGGCGCGGCGACGGACGCCGGGAACGTTCTCGCACTGCATACCGACTCTGCACACTGTGTATCTGGTCGGCAACGGTGCTCGGAACCACACCCGTGGATTCGCCGAGATTGCGGGCACCATCGACGCCCAGGCGCCCACACGGCGAACGGCCAAGGTGTTAGCGCACACCGCCATCGAGTTGTTCTGCGACCCCATCCTGGTGCAGAAGGTCAAGGACGAGTACGCCGACTGGCGCAGTAGCACAGCCATGTCTCCGGCAACACCACAGTCGAAGAAATGAACTGTTCCATGTAGGGTTGTTTGATTGAACTGCTCTAGGCAGTCCGGGAACTACCCGGGACCGGGAAATTTCCCGGCAACCACGGAAAACTGCGCAAGAACCCAGTACAGAGCGGATAACACGGTTAGGAGTCGATAGCGAGGCTGCAGAGGAATGTGTACCGAGGTGTCCCGGAAAGTTTCGTGCCAGCCCTGGGAGCCATGCTCAACTCTCATTGGCTGAGAACACTGCAGCTCGGACTTAACGAGGTCACCGTGAACGAAACCTGAAAGGACGCTCAGTACGGCTCCTCACCCATTCATTCAGTGTTGAAGAGAGGCTTCGCAGTTCATTTCAAGCACATGGAAGTGAAGGACAACTCTACAAGTTTCTTTTCGTCTTGCAAGATTCCTTGTGGGTCGCTTTTAGTTGTTCCTGTTGCTGTTTGTTTTTTTTTTTGTTTTTTTGTGGTAAAGCGGTAGCACATAGACGGGCATGTGTTACGCACTTTTGACTGACAACGCTATGCCATGTGATACATCGTCTTGAAGGGTGTTTCGAATGCCATTCTCACTTGAAATTACTGGTCGGCAAAAGTTTGCTCTTTTTATTGGTTCTGTTTTACTCTGTTTTACCTTTTAGTTAATACTAAATGTGTAAACTTCATAACTCACGTCTTTCATCGACGTTTACTAATACTGTACACTGCAGGCTATAGCTAAAGAAAGTGTTTCCAACGTTCTAACTTGGACGAGAAATTTGCCGAATCTTAAGTTGTGTAACGTTGCACACAGCGTCTATGAATCGATTCGTCCATGGCCTATTAATTATTTCGATAGGGACCACTAGAAATACTGCTCTAGGACCACACTATTTTTCCTTGACGCAGTAGTTCCAGGTAATAGAGTGGACGCACTTAGGTGTTACGTTTGACTGAAAGACCGCATTTCCGAAAATAAAATGGAGAGAAACGTGTGGTTTGTTCGTCTAATTGCCATAGCGAGGCTTGCAAGAGGGTGCACTGCACGCAACGCATAGCTTTCCACTGTCTTTCAATGCAATTCCCTGTGCGGAGTGGTTCTTGAGAGAAAGGAAGAGAAAAGTGAGCCCCGTTATTGTCTGCTTCAGTGAGCGACACCGCCACAGAGCTCACAAAGGGATGGGGGTAAGGAGGGATAAAAGGGTAGAGGTAAAAGTATAGGAAAGAGGAAGAAGAAGCAACAACAAACTGAGGGGATAGAAGAGACAGGAAAGATGGAAAACGGTCACTGGAGTCCGAGGACGGGGTACACTTGCGAGAGATGGTGTCGGCGTCTGTAGATGGCGTAGAGCAGGTCCAGTAGGTCAGAGCTGCGCTGTCACCGAAGACAGCCGGCGACAGGAGATGACGTAGGGCCAGCCCAGTCGGCCAGAGCTACGATGACGCCGAAGGTCGCGAGCGCGCGGAGCGCGCGGGCGCACAACCGGTCGGCACGAAATCCAGGGAGCGTCTCCAATTCCCTGTGCCAAAGTATAGGTAATATGTAAAAAAAAATTCTCTCGCACCGAGTTACAGTGATGCATCTGTTCATGTTTTCCAATAAAAGATATACGCGTCACGCCTGGAGTTCATTTGTGTGCTGCATGCCATGCGTTTTGAGCCCGATCTCGTTTATATTAAAATAATTACTAAGAAAATGTATTAGCGAATTATGAATCCTCTACGATATTACCTTATAAACTTTCCGGCAGATTCCAAGTGGTAAAAGAGTGTATTTATTTTAGAAAATGGCTATTCCTTTTGTCAAATCGGAAGAACAGCTGCGAATGGCTATCCTGTAGTTGAGTACTTACTATTTTCTATTACGTGTCGACAATCGTAAGTTAAAAGTTATTACGCTGTTTAACTATAATAAAGTTCCATCGTCCATCCATCTATCCATCTAATTATGACATCAAGGTAAGTTATCCTACAGTGAATAAGCAAGCGAAACAACTCCATTTGGTCCACAATAAGCGCGAGTGAACTCGACATCACCTGACTAGGCCAACTCGGTCAGAAATAATTTTTTTAATCCACCCGTTCGCTGTTATCTCCTGCATTGGGTGTGATCCATGTTCAGAAATCCACTACAGTGGCTTACTTGGTAGTCCTAAAACTTGGATATCTTAATAATCCTTTCCAGTTGACGGTGTAGCATCTATCAGAATTGGAAATAAGATGAGGGCTATGTAATCCGCTCGACTCTCGACTGATCTACCTGAGTGGATATGTTTCAATCATCTCAGTAGCATAATCATCACCGTCACCATGATCATCGTCGTCGTCGTCGTCGTCGCCATCACGAGACGCGCGTGGTGGATCAGCACGGGCTGTCCCGCATCCGGGGCGAGCATCTACCGGCCATTCGATTTGCTGCAGCTGCTACGCCTCTGTTCTACAGTTTCTCGTCAAGCTAGCCGTGGGTGGGCAATCTCCCGGCCTGTTCATCGATCTCGTCTCTGTGAATTCCAGTATAGAAGACTCTGAATCTCGCCCCAGCGATCATGGCGATGTCCTGGAAGAACTTTCCCTTCTGGGACCTCTCCAAGTGGTATCGCTACTCACCGCCACACCCTGATGAGGACTTCTTCGGGAATTCTGCCTCCAAGAAGGCATCGCAAAAGCGCAGAAAACGAACCAAGGCCGTTTCGAAGCGGGCTTCGCCGAACGAGCCAGCCTCCCGAGTCGGGTCGCCGCAGGAACTGCAGTCGCATGCGACGCAGGTATGAATTCAATTGGTTTTTTTGAAATGGTAGCGTCTATATTGTCGGCAGCCGGTAGAGTACATCGACCGACCGCGTTACGGCAGTTCATTACCATAGGAGGGTTTCAAGTGACGTTCTCAGGGGATTGTGCCGAGACGCTGGTCTGCGGCTGCCGAACGGCCAGGAGCTGCACAGACTAGAGGAACTTCCGCGACCTAGGCGTGATATTGTCCGCCTCATAGAGGCTCGTTTCACGACATGAAGCGCACTTCAAACAAGTTGCACTGCGAACTAGCCGCATACTGCCTGGACAATGCCTGTGGGGCGAGTTAGGTTAGGTGTAGGCCTTTTAGGTTAGGTTAGGTGTAGGTTGGGCCTTATGAATTTCCCAGAAGGCAGCATACAAGAAGAGGGGGAGGAGGATAAGTTGTGAGGAACACAGCTTGCGACATAACTATAGTTGCCGCGCCTTGGTGGTATAGTGGCTATGGCGGTCAACTGCTAACCTGAAGGTAAGCGGTATGAAATCCCGGCTGCAGCGGCTGCATTTTCGATGAAGGCGAAGATGTTTGGTGCCCGTGTACATAGATTTAGGAGCACGTTGAAAAACCCCGGAAGGCCGAAATTTCCGGAGCCCTCCACTACGGCGTGTCTCATTACTATATTGTGGTTTTGGAAGATTGAATCTGAGATTATATTTTAGACATAAATAGTATATGAAGGTTGAAGTGCAAGGAGAGGGAAACGGTCCGGTCTTGGCGCTGCGCCAAATCCATCTGCGAATTCACTCATGGAAAAACACACGGCTCAAGAGATGCCCAGAAACCTGCAAAACCGGGGAAACATTCACTTTGAAAGATTTCTCCTAGAATCACCTAAATTCTTTTCGCAACCTGCTCATGACGCGTCTAACTCTACATAGTTCAATGCGTTGATGAGCACCCCGATTTTCTTATGGGTATTCTTCATTGATGAGAGCCATCAATGGAGCCCTTACGTGCCTTTGGAACCTGTTCCTTTGCCTTGTACATTGCCTTTTTTGCACTAATTAGTTATGCCTCAAGGCAAATCATACCAACCAGCCCAACTTTCATCTATAGTACGGGGACACCACACTGAGACAGACAAAAATAAAAAAATGCGTTTAAATGTTGAAATTTGAGGTTGCTGTTATAGATGAAAACTATATAGGAGAAACTCAATACAACTGTCCAGCTTTCTTTCGAAAGCTTCTACGTATCACTGAAAACAGTTTTTAATATGGTGTAGTTAGCCTTTATTCAACTAGCTTTGGTAAAGTATTGACCTTTTTTTATAAACAGCTTTCGTATTTTTTGGGGTAGCATTACTGCACTCGTATTAATTACGTGCAGACCGAGGACGCTAACGCCCACCTGGCGAAGCGAGTGTACCCGACGCCGGCTGCTGCATGGGCTCCCCCTCAAGCGGTTCATCCTGCAGTGGTGCCAGAGCACCCCGCAGAGATCCCGATACACGAGTGGCCCGCCCACCATGCTGGACAGCCCGGGACCTACAACGATCCGCGCCTCACTGCTAATCAGGTTGGTGGCTGCCATTATAACACGGTTCAGAAACGGAGAAGAGGACTGGGTCGATGCTCAGAACCTGCCAACATCTTGTTTCATATGGCCCTATTCATTTTGGGTGAGGTCATATGGGATGTTCAGTGCTTTCAGATACCATTTACTATATATAAAGCAGCTGTCCGCGGTGTGGGGAGTCTGGATCAGGTACGAAAAGACATTTGTAGCTAGCATCAGTTGCACAAGGCTAAAAAGGTAACGGTGAGGCGGTACAGGTTCCTAGCCTTACGAAGTGATGTCAAAGTATACCTTACACGATGTGTCTTCAAGCGATGTCAAGTTCCAATCGAGTAGGGCATAGTCTCCTCACACCATTTCAGCCCTACGACGTCATGTACTGCTTCAAACGAGTCGAGTCTAGCGGTTTCACTTGGCAGCGCTAACTATTCCTTGTAACCGGATTTGTAATCGCCTGCACGATACTTTTTTCGGTCCGACATGACGGTAGTAAGGGCGCGAAAACAGAACGACGACAAAGGAACAAGGAGAAGACTATAGCGCTATTCTTCCCTTTGTCCCTTTGTCGTCGTTCTGTTCTCACGCTCTAACTAAAGTCATGTCAAACCAACTAGCCCAAACCGCCACGCTTTTAAGTGTACATTTCTTCGGTTTCCCATGTCGGCGGCTGGTAGCGCGCGCTACTGCAGCGAGCCAATTTTATGCGGAATGAACGCAAGCATGCGCCGTTTACAGAGACGCCAGGTATTGTGGTACCGAGCTGTCGCGTGCAGTGTCCTGGCAGGCGGGCTGGTGACGGAGCAGCGGTCTGGGCTAAAGAAGCACGTGCAGTGCAACTGGTTGCTAGGCAACGTGTGGGGACGTCATTGAAGCGGGGAGTGTCTCTGTTGGCGTTAGACCGATTGCGACTGGTTCAAAGAGCTTCTTCCTTCATATTGTTCTGACGGGAACATATTACCGAATTTACTCAATTCCACCACGCTCCCGATTCCAACGCGCACTTGGCTTACATTATCCCCAAACTAAAATACAGCTATGGGGAAGTTTACACGTATGTACCTAAATCTGACGCGCACGCGATTTTTAGGTCTATTTCTCCCGAAAAAAAAAAAGGGGTGGGGGTGCACTTTGGAAATGGGTAAATACGGCATTAAGATTCTTCAGCACAGTACTTTCCTCGAACGTCGATACACTGCTTCCGACGCTGTTATCCCGCTGCAAGTGCTTGCTAACGTCCACTGCCGCTAACTCTATCATGTGCTATGACTGCCCTTAGGACGACAGGAACTACATCGAAATGGTGACGTTGCGGGTTTCACTTTCTTTTCGGATGATCGCCCATGCTGCCCTCATTCAGTTCTTCCTTTTCTCGAAGCTCAACAAATGACAGAAAGGTAATCGTTTCGACTGAGTTCCCTCGATCCAACAGGTTTTCAAAGAGTATCTAATGGAGGTCGCTGGAGTTTAGCTTCATGTAGCCTTCGAAGCATAGGAAGCGTATTCAAATCTGTGTATATATAGACAGCTGAGGAAATGACTTCAAAGAAATTTATTAGTTCTGGTAATATCGACCAATTCTTGGTGCCAGATCAAGTTTCAATACTTTACGGACGGACCATGTATGCATTTCGATTATATTTTGAACCTTCATCCCGGCACCACCTACATCATCATCATCATCATCATCATCATCATCAGCCTGACTACGTCCACTGCAGGACAAAGGCCTCTCCCATGTTCCGCCAGTTAACCCGGTCCTGTGCTTGCTGCTTCCAA